CTGAAAGTGGCGTTAGATTGAATTCTCGTCCTGTTTTCCTTCCTGTCTGATCAGCAGCACTGGATCCACTCTTTTCTTTCATGTGTCAGAGAAGGAGATGATTTTGCTTCAGTGTTGTTCTTATTTGAAAATGTTGCTGTGAGGTGTGACGCCACAGGTCTGATGTTTTTCATGGCATCGTTTCAAATGTAAGAATGGAAATGCTAAAGAATCTCTTATATTGAGCTTGTGTGGGGTCTCCACGCTGCCACCAGCTGTGAGAACAGATGTTTTCCTTGTACATGTGAATTTGATTTGCTTGAATGGAATTAAACAGAGTGCACTCATCTGTGTGTGAAGCCTCTTTTTATGATATTTATAAATCTGAAAACCAGGGGTGTCAAACATAAGGGCCGGGGCCCAGAATCGGCCTGGCAAAGACGCCTGGAGGGTCTGGAAACGTGAAAAATGATTAACTGAAGTTTAACAGCTTTCCCTTTAAATAAAGAGACCCACACTCGTGGATCCTTCCAGAACAAAAGTGTTTGTTTGACCGAGCTGGTAAAAGCTGTTCACGCAGGACGCTGTCACCGCGATCACACACCTGACCTACACAGCTGCCACACATCGTTTTCATTTTTAAGCTTCAGTTAGGTTTCATTCTGCAGGATTTGTTATTAGCTCTCCATCTGCATCCTAATCAGAACCACTGCGACGCTGTTAGCGTGACATTTAAACACTGCATTTGTGTCAGTACTGCAAACACCTGTGGAAGCATCGTGTTTGTCCGACTCCACAGACTCGTGTCCCGACATACAACAAACCTGTGATATTCATATACGCACCTTTGAACGTAGACAGGAAGTTAGACTCACATCACATCATGAATGAAGGCGCTTCATTACCGCACGCTGCTGATATGTTTGTTCATTACCTGCAGACTCAGTGTGAACTGTTTTATGGGCAGAGTGCTGTAACTCCTGCCCACCACCAGAGGGCAGCGCAGCTCCAAGTAAAAGCGCAACAATCCCACCTGAACTTTGACCTCAGATAAACTGAGCTTGACAAACGTGCCACGGCTGAGCTGAGGAAGCATTACAGGACACGTGAAACACACCTGACCACAGGTAGCATCCAGCCACGCAGACGACGCAGAAGGCGAGCAGCGCCGGCAGAAGGCAGAGCCCCAGACTCAAACACGGCTGCCTCATCCGGTCTGTGGACGACCGCCCGGCACCTCCTGCAAACACACAATCACACACACCATCATTTATTCTGCTTCTTTTCACATCGTTGTGCCAGCCGTATAAACCCACACACCGGCTCCCTGTGTGGGTTTGAAAGGTTTCACACTGGTTACAGGAAACTCATAACTGGAGGAAAAATGAGCTGCGGCGGTGCCGTGGGGGCGGAGACTCGTCTTTACAGGTCAGCGGGAAATCCTAAAGAGGCCTTGGTGGCGTTTCATAGAGAGAACATTAAAGCTTCTCCTGTGATAAAACCAACCACGAGTGACGCTCAGCTGAGCGCCCGACTATCAAGAGACAATACATAAAAATATCAAACTCAAAACAATTAAATACGTAAAAACTCAGATCAATAGAATAAACATAGAATAGAACATGTACTTTTATTTCACAGTACATCCTGATGTGACGTCTCACTGCAGTTTCTTTCACTCCTTCGTTCCAACGACACAAACTATTAAAGGTGTCAGCACGCACACGGAAACCGCCGTGTGTTCGTGTTCAGCTGCTCGGCTGCAGACGCGTGGACGCGCGGTGACAAGATTCAGGGGGGGTGACGACTCACCCCACTCGTTTTTCCACACGTGTGTGACGTGTAGCATGTTTGTCACAAAATGTCAGTTCATGGAACGCAGAGAGCCCTGGCCCCGGGGCCCCCGAGGGGCCCCCTGCCTCCGTTCTGCTGGGGGGGGCAGCTTGCTGTCCCATCAGCTGATCAACAACACAAACATCCTAGAACAGAAATCCTACTGCACCTTTCAAACTTTGTCAACATCAAGTTTTCTTCTGATCCATGCGGCAAAAAACTGCTGCAGTTTGTTTATTTCGAGTAAAATCGGTGCGTTCGTGGTCGGAAACAAGTCTGCGTCTTTGAACGTGTCCACGTTTCCACTTTTAGACACAGGAACGGTCCCCACCTTCTTCACAACTCAAACGTTTGTGCTGGTTTGTGATGAACGAGCTTTTATTTATGGAGTTATTGGAAACTTGAGCCTCGACAGTTTCACGTCTTTAGCTGCTCTGAGAGGAAACGTGCCAGCATTGATCTGATGGTTTGTTTTTTCTGAATGCAAACTGTAGTTTATTGGAAGTATTCTAAATATTTTAAGTTAACCCCGTTTGTTACTTTAAGAGTGTGATCATGATGAAAACTATCCAGCACTGGTTTATGTGTCACAACTTTTTCACAGTAAAGAAACAGGCTGGGTGACTTTGGATAGAAACTTTTGTTAGTGTCTTTAAAACACAATCAGCACACATGCAGCGCACACATGCAGCGCACACATGCAGCGCACACATGCAGCGCACACATGCAGCGCACACGTTTCACATTGATTTTGTTTGATCTGAAGAAGGTGGGGGCTGAGTGCAGCACAGGTCCACAGACCCGGAGGATCGATGCCAAGAACTGAAGCTCGCTGTAGCCTAACGAGTGACTGAGACACAGAGACGCCGACTGACGGAAAAACTCAGTGAAGACAAAAGAAGTTTGTGATCTAATCCCCAGCTGTGAACGCAGCCCGGACAGCTGCACATGCTGCAAACAGAAACATCCAGCTGGAGCTCTATAAGAGATCAGGAGGTCATAACGCTTACTGACTGGCGCCGCCTACAGGTCCACGCTTGATATCTGCTCCTGTGAGCCAGAAGTCATACTTCCTGGGAAGTGTTCATAAATCGTTTTAAAGAAAGAATCCACGGTCACGGCCTCACTTTCATGTTCCACTGATCTGTTTCCATAGTCATCCTCAACTCAACATGTAAACATTTATGATCAGATAGTCTCAAAACTGTTTTAGAAAATCCAGAAAATGATTTTAAATCTTTCAGCCTCCTGACCAAGTCTGACAGCCTGGACGAACATCTGAAAAAGGAAATCTTACATCTTCATCGTGTATCGTGAAATGTTCCTGCTGTTTAAAACGTTTCTGAGCTCAGCTCGAGCTGACAGCAGAAACGTCTGATCGTCTTACCGTCCACAGTCAGCTGAATTCCTCTGTTAACGTGCATCTTATCTGCAAACCTCCCGATGCAGAAGTACAGCCCAGCATCCTCCTCCTCCACCTCCTGGATCTCCAGGCTGACCAGGCCGGTCTGCAGCGTCCCGTCACACTTCATGCGATGGTTGTTTGTGTGATGGTCAGTGGTGTCCGGCCCTTTTAACTTCCCCTCTTTAACAGTTAACAGAGGCTGCAGCTGCTCTGAGCGCAGCAGGTACCAGGTGATCTCATATTTGTGCGTCATGTTACAGAGTAGAGAGACGTTGTGGCCCACCGGCACCACCAGGGTGGAGCTGTGAACAGGTGAGGCTGAAGCCAGGTGACATCCCGCAGCACTTGAGGAGTGAGCACAGGTCAGGACGGCGTGCACCTGAAGGCTCCTTCATATCACAGAAAACACAACAGGTCACAGGTGTGCGCTCCACAGCTCGATAGAGCTCACAGTTCCTGCTTCATGGTTTTCCACAGAGAAATCATTTCCCCATTAATACTGTTAAGTTTACTGCACATGCTCACAATGAGTCAGGCTGAGGGTCGTGATCAGCATGGAAACTGCTGCGACTGCTGTGCACACCCACAGCTTTAGAAATCTTTTTTATTACAAAAACATTTTTTGTCAGACTAAAATTGATCTGAAGTTATATTATCAGACAGAAAATAACCGTCCAGCCCCTAAAGATGTACACATTACTCCAGATAAACAGGTTTCGTTATAAAAATAATAATATGGATAATATAAAATAATAAAAATAAAAAGCACAATTTTTCATAATTCACAAAGTCTCATCAGCAGCTTTAAGCCACGAAAAGATGCTGAATGATGCTGTTAATGTCCAATAAAACATCAGTGACTTTAAATACGAAAATCCATCAAAGTCTGAAATGCTGCCCAACAAAAACTAAAGTGGAAATAGAAACAAACATTCATAGAAATAATTTATCACAAAATAAAAACAAGAAGACTGCAGACACAAGTATTAGTAGGACTTTCTTAATATTACTATAACAATAATAATTATACATATTTTCAGTACCTTATTATCATTAATATGAGCATACTTTCCTCTATATATATTGTAAATCTAACTATTGTGATATTGTAAATAATTTATAATATCACAATAGTTAGATTTACAATATCCAACTATAGTTTAAGATTTTTTTCAATGCTAAAATCTGAAAAACCAAAAAATCAAAAACACCATCAGGTTATCGAACACTGGGCGACAACAGGATGATTAATCCAGAGAAATGAAAACAGATCCCCTTCCAACATACCCGAGTCTTAGTATTATTGTTATTGTTGTTGTTGTTGTTGTTGTTGGACAAAGCCTTAAAAAGAACAAGAGCAAATCTGAAACTTGTGAAACTTGTAATTTCTCGGTAAAGAGAAGTGAAAGAAAAACGCGTCCAGCTACAGGGAGGGGTGAGTCCCAGGACACCCAGCAGGCCTCGGGTCTGCACCGGGGTCAGGGACCGAGGTCAGCCTGCAACACTCTGCTCCCTCAGTGTGGGGCGTGTCCCGACTTTCACTGGTCACTTGAACGTAAACACGCGATCATCATGAGACAAACTAACGAGCAGAAACACAACAAACACCTGCAGGAGACCCGGATCCCTCGGGCCCTGGAAGGTCTGCATCCTGACCCGGAGACTCAATGACACACCTGGAATCCCGCAGCCATTCTGAGAGGGAGTCCTGCACAGAAATCGAGATAAAAACAAACATAAATGAAATAAAACTCACACAGAACGGTCAGGATCCACGTGACACCCGCCATCATTTAAATACAGATCAGTTTTCTCCAGGTGTGCTGCACGAGCTGTCTGCAGCGCGAGGAGCTGACGCTCACAGACACACAGACTGACACACAGACTGACACACAGACTGACGGCGCAAAGGGTTTTAATGTGGGACGGGGAAGTGAGCGGGACTTGACTGAGCAGCAGCAGAGACCACCAACACTTCTGCTGGAGCGCTAAACGGAAGGCACGCGCTGTTCCCGCGAACTCACGCCGAGGCGTCAGCAGCTTCACGCGCTCCGCTCAGCTGAGCCGGTAAGTTTCGTTTCTGCAGAGCTCCGCGCCGCAGCTCACGGTTGCTTCAAAATAAAAGCCCAGTGACAATATGAATCGGATAATCTTCTTTTCTCCGCTTTTTACAGCGTTTTTCACAAAATGTGAACTAGCAGCGACAATGCTATAATGATGATGATGATGATGAAGAACGGCACTCGGCACTGAATCTGATTCCGTGCTTTTAATTTGACAGGTTCGCAGGAAATCGAAACGCACGCGCTGGGTTGATAAGCCGTCAGAGGAGCCGAGAGTAAACAGAGTGGAGAAACCGCACGCGGGGGACGGAGAAGAAGACTGAGCAGTTTCCACGAAGCGGACATCATGAAAACGGTCACCGAGCGGCTCCGGTACGACACACTGCACTTCCGGTCTGAGCAACAGCTGCTCCTGTTTATTTTATTATTTATTTAATTTAATTTTTATTCAGCAAACATGCAGGTTAATATCTAAACATGTTGTTATTCGGATATGAAAGGATGAGTGAATTCAGACTGCAGGAGAAATAACCATAAAATATGATTATTATTGTTATTATTATTATTATTATTATTACTATTATTATTAATGGTGATGATGATGATGCTGCGGACCTGCAGGGCGGGACCTGCAGGGAGATCGCTGCGCATGGCAGTTTCGTTACTGAGGAAACGAGTCCGTGGGTAGAAATGAAACTTTGCCTGGATCATGTGGAAGCTGAGTTTCGTTTCTGAGCGCTGGTCAGAGTTAAGTTTCACTGCAGCTCACAGGCAGGACCGCTACAAACAGCTGGCTGGACAGATTCCACATGATAGGCGTTATAAGACAGGAAGCGTATGGCACGTGGACTTCTCTCTAATGTGTTTCTAGTGTGTTTCTAATGACCATTTAAGGTGAATAAAGAGAGCCTCATGAATATTGAATATGAAATTTCACCCCCATGTCATACTGTGTATGGTTGTGTGTGTGACAAATAAAATTTTTATTTGAAAATAAGCTGATCGTCTAACCCCGTTATGACGTATTTTCTTGTGTTTCTTTAGGTTTTTCATACTCATGCTGTGTCTCCACACCGGAGCTTTAGTTGGTGAGTATCAGCGTCACACTCTGAGGTCAGAACTGGTCAATCCCACGTCCCTGTTCACAGGATGTTCTTGCTGTGTTTCTTTCTGCAGACTCCTCTTCTCTTTCCTCCGCCATGCTGTCCATCTCCTACATGGCGGGGGACCAGGCGATCCTTCCCTGCAGCTGGAAGTCCCACCTGGGTGAGGCGGCTCTGCCCGTCTGCCACGTCCAGTGGGTGACCTTGTCCGACACGGTGTTCGAACAGCGCGGGGACGAGAAGTGGCAGGCGCCGGAGTTTGAGGGCCGGGTGAGGGTGCCCGAGGAGAAGCTGGGGTCGGGGAATTGTTCCCTGATCATCAGCGACGTTCAGCTCGGAGACACGGGGCGCTACGACAGCTTCATGGTGGTGGATGGAAAGAGGTCCGCAAGAACTCGGGTCTTCATTCAGGGCGTCAGGCTGCTTGTGGGCGGTTAGTGTTTGACATCGTCTCCTTGGAGTCTCGGCAGTCTCCTTCTGATGTCGTTCCTGGAGTATTTCATCTGTTCATTGATGGCTCTTTTGTTTCAGATCATAAATCCTCTCAGTTCCATCAGCCGGGCGAGGACATGATCCTGCAGCTCTACACCCGTCACTCAGTCAGAGTGGTCTTCCAGGCCAGGTGAGCTGCTCACCTGCCGACAGGTGGAGACGCTGGTGGTGGATTTGTTCATCTCCCACCCTCACGCTTCCTCCCCTCAGCTCTTTATTTCCCCCGCTGATGTAAAAGCTCGCCTACTGCTTAATAAAACGACAGTTTGTGTCTCGAATCAAAGGCTGCTGGCTGCTCTGACTCCTCCTATAATTGGTGCCGACAGAGACAGAATGTGGCGTTTGGGGAAAATGATTCGTGCAAAGCAGAAACTTTCACGGCAGACAGATTTCATTTTGGGATAAACCCACAGATGTGCTGCTGCACAGAGCATGCACTGCGCCAGGATGCAAGGGGGAGGGCGGGGGAGATCTTCTTACAGGGAGGCAGACGTTTGTGGCTCTGTGGGCAGACTGATCGCGTTGCTGTTGCTTGTGCACTCTGAGGACGACGCGGCGTTTTTGTTCTGACAGCATTTACATTCTCCACAGAAACGACTCGGCGTGGTCGGACCTGTGGATGAGGGGCGATAACAACAGTCAGCGCCTGGAGAAACACCTGCTGCTCGAGCAGCTGACGGTGAAGAGGTTAAAACCATCAGATGAAGGAATCTACAAAGTCCTGGACCAACATGGCCTCGCCGTCAGCACCGTGCAGCTCTCTGTGGATGGTGAGCCTATCGATTGATCTTAAATGGGATTACCTAGATTACTTTAAATGAGTTAGTACTGCAGGTTGTACTCCTGAGAGTCGCTGAGTGCACGTCGTATGGACAAAAGCACTGACAGGAGCTGCTCGGCTGTGGAAACTCAAACCGTGAAGCTCTTGTGTGTGAACGCCACAGGGCGTTTTGTCCACACGGTGAATCTGAGCACCAGCGCCGTCTACGATTAACAGCGCTCGACACCGAAGCGTGGGAACGCTCCGCTTTGCCGCAAACGGAGAATTAAATTACAAACTTAAAACAGGAAATGGTTTTTTTGGACCGCGTCGGCGTTTCTGCTGAAGAACCAGAAATAGAGAAAGTTGAGCCCCGAGCGTCCAACAGAGTCAGCTGACGACACAGAATAACTGAAGCCGTTTAACCTGTGCTTTTACTGGAACTATCGTGTGCATCATCATCACATGTACCTGTCTGTCCCACAGCACAAGCCCGTCCTGACCGGAGAGTCCAGGAGAAGCTGGAGTACGTTCCCACAGGTGAGGAAAGCGCCTGCATGGTGCCCATCAATCAGGCATCTGAAGAGTGATTTTTAAGGACATTAAATTAAAAAACCCTCTGTGTTCCCACTTTGATGTCTTTCCAGATGTTGCTGCCAAAAGCAGCTGTTCAGCTCTTCTCACCCTGGCGGTTCTCGTCCTGAGTTTCCAAACTCTTCAGCTTCTCTGAGTTTCTTCTGCACGAGCTGCACACGTGACTCCTGCACATTACAGGCAGCAGATGGTGACAGTCACGTGTGTGTGTGTGTGTGTGTGTGTGTGTGTGTGTGTGTGTGTGTGTTGCCCGGTCTTCAGAATGAGTGTGATAAGAAAACAGTGTGTTCATTTTTTGACCCTCAATCATCGGCCGGCTTCGTAGAAACGCAGCCGCGGCTCAGACTGCGACGCAGGTTTGTTCTTAGGTGTAGATTGACACTACGATGGATGGAAACCTGCAGCCTGCCTCTGTTTGTTCACTTCTAAATAAGCCGCGCTGCGATCCTGATAAGGCGTCATTTACAAAAGGCACCTTTTAGGTTGCCAGATTTGAGAAAATCCTCCTCCATCATGACTCTTTGCCTTTTTAGCTCTTTATTTCATTATGGAGACCCCTGCAGTGAAGTGATCACCTCTGTGCTAGAGAAGCACCAGACCTCGTCACCACGGAAACCACTGCCGATCCAACGGAGACACAGATGGAACAGTTTCACTCATTTTGCTCGGAAAATGAGTGAAAGATTCAAAACAACATGTCAACGAATCAGAGAAACTCTGACCTGTTTCACCAAAACTTCTCCGCACAAAACAGTCAAACAGCTCCGTGTGAACGTCTGCATCTGCAGATCCCATTAGTAATGACAGCACCACCACATACACTGTAAAAGTCCTCGGAGCTCTAAAACACTCAGAAGACGAGCAGAAAATGACCTGAAACGTTTATGTTTGGGTCTCCTTCACTGACCGTGGGAAATCAGCACTTTCCTGCCCAGGGGTCAGAGTTTATTGGGGGGGGGGGATCACCGTGATAAAGAGGTAAATGAATGAGGCAAAGTGTGATGACGGAGGGCGGAGCACATCAGCAGCTCATTAACCTTTTGGAAATGGTGCCTTATGAGGAAGTGACTGCTCCGGCCGAGGATTTCAACAGTTAAGAATGTAAAGAGAGATATATGTAATATATACGATATATTTTGTTAAATGTACTAAATGGACAAAAAGCACTGTCAGATTCATCTATGTGAGAAGAGTGTCTGCGCACAAAGGGCGGAGCCACTGCAGATCAGTCAGATAAATCCAGAGAAGATGAAAACGTTTTCAATGAAAGTATTACGTTTAGAATAAAACTCGTTACATTTGCAACAAAACTTTTTTTTTTTTTAATCGCTCGTTGCCCCGTGTCCAACATCACCATGGCAACAAAGACGCCGCCCGCTGTGGATGAACAGATCAGCTGGTGTTTCGGGCTCAGGGGCGTCTGTGGTGTGCTGAGCTTCGTCCAGCCTCATCGTTTTCCACCAAGAAACACTTTAATGATTTTTCATAATTTCAAGTTCTTTTAATCTTCTTTAGCCTTTTCTCGTCACTTCTCTGCACTTAGAAGCCTTTATCGATGTGGTCGCTGTAGCTTTGGGTCGTCGCTTTAAACAGTCTTTGATTCTGTATCCAGTCAGACGCAGTTAAATCAAACGATGTCCGAGAGCTTCAGTTATCGGTCTGGTCGCACCGCGGTGCGTTTGAGGACGCTGTGGTATTTGCTGTGTTGTGGTGTTGGTGACATTCAGACTGCTTTCCATGAACTATAATCATTTAAATTATTACGATGATCTTTGTGAATAACAACAATAAATAAAGCGCACAGACAGACTGGTGTTGTACTCTCATTGTTAGACTTCACACAGATTCACATCAATAACACGACACACTGTCTCCTCACCAACAAATCTATTAAAACACTCTCCCACACTGTCAGAGAACCACATGTGGATTCATCCGCCACTGAAAATAGTTCCCATAAAACCGCACCATTCCCCAGATTGTACAGCATATAACGAGATCGTGTTAGCGTGATGGATCACTTCTATGAAACACCGGCAGCGCTGATGTTTTCAGACTGTAGATGAAAGATGGAGTGGGATCATGTGACGAAGCTTAAATATGATTGTTGGATCAAAGCATGGAGCCACAGCACAAGCAAACACGGTGCACAGGTCCAGTTAGCAGCTGCCTGTCAGTCAAAGAGGCCACGCCCCTAATCAATTACAGTTTAAACAGGTGAGTTAGAAAATACAGTTTTGTAAACCTGTAACACGGTGCTCACTGCTGGGAGTCGGCCTCTGGTGGTCGTGGGAGGAACTGCAGTGTTTCACAGCTCCACACTGGCTGGAGGCTGAGACTGAACTAAGCAGACCTGCTAATCTAGTTTAAATGTCGTTTTTCTAATGAAGCTGGTGGGCGGAGCCTCACAGAGACGGTGGGCGGAGCGAGATGGTTTGAGTCTAAACACTGGACCTGCTGAACAAACATTTTGTCCTTTCAGCGTCAGTCTCAGTAACGTGTTCCACAGACGTGCTCCCGTCTGATTAGAGCAGCGAGCCAATCAAAACAGCTGATAGATTATTGATCATCTCACAAACTGAAGCTCAGTCACTGAAAGCTGCACGGCCTTCATCGCTTCTATCGGGGATCATCATTTTATTCTTCATTCAATGTGATTAGACATTCATTTACATTAGGTTGAATTAGCATTTAATTGGAAGTTTTGCTGTTGCTGTAACAGAAGCCAAAGAACCCTGCACACCCCCACAGTCACTGTAGAGCCAGGAGGGCCAAACGTTTCCCTGACAGGGGCAACGTGGCCGAGCGTCCGTGGTTCACTGGCTTCTTCACAGTTTTTAAAGTCATGGAATTAAAATTCACTCTCCTCCGCTGACCTTCGACACGGCTCCTTCATCTGGAGACAAAAGTCTTTAACACTCCAAACTTCACAGAAAAGAAGACGAAGCAGCGGTCGGCTGCAGAGAACCGTCACCTCCACCCGCAGGAGCGTCGGTGCGTTCGCCGGCTCTCTGACCCCCGACCCCGACAAAGGCGTCCCGTTAGAAGTTGGGTTTGTGCTTCTTGACCTCCACCATGAGGTGGTGGAGGTTGATGAGCTCGGAGCGGACGGCCAGGCTGCGGAACGTGGGCTGGTTCAGGACTTTGTGGAAGCCGTGGTAGTACTGGATGAGCTGCGTCAGGGCGCCCTGCGGAAGGAGGATGTGACTCACGTTAGTAAAACTAAACACATAACCTGAAGTTCAAACCATTTACAGCGCGTTTCTTCTCAGCTTGTGAAGCTGAACTAGAACCACAGGTTTGTGTCCCCACTGTGTCTGAAGCAGGCGTCAGGCTGTGTGTGGGCGCATGAAACACGCCTTATTAATGCGAGCGCGCTCAGAGCCTGAAGCAGAGAGCCGGCGAATTAGAACCCGGCTGTGTTGGTCGTGCATCCCGCTGGTGATCGAGGTGAAGGAGGCAAAAATCTGAAGAGTAACATGAACTGTGAACTTATGATAGCGTGTCACAGCTGTGATCGCTGCCTCGCAGCGTGTCCCTCAGGCTGATCCACTCTAGCACTGATGTTGCTGTGATGTGCAGTCAGACATCGTTGTTCCTGTTTTTATTGATGAGTTCTGCTTCTCAAATATGAAAATGTGCATGTTTTGTTCTCAGTTTAATCTTCTTTAACATTGTTTAGTGTGTCTCGTTTCACTCTCACACACTCTGCAGGTTATTTTATACTTTATTGACCATTTATTTTTCTTCACTGTTTTGCATCCGTTTGGAGACATTTTCTCACTTTTTGGACCTTTTGTGTCGTTTTAAATCTTTGTTTTAAATTTTGTGTCACTTTGTAGCCAGTTTGTATGTTTTTGTCCCTTTGGAAACCTGGTGTCACGGCACAGTTAGCCCACAGAGGCTGTGTGGCACACCTGCCGCCCGGCTCACCTGGATGATGCTGGTTCCATTTTTGAAGTTGGTGAAGGACCTCATGACGTCCTGACTCATCGCCTCCACCGACTGTTTCCATGTGCTGGAAAACCCCCGAACCAGCTGAGTGATTCGAGCTGCACACACACGCACACGCACACGCACACACACACACACACACACGCACACACACACGTTAAGTTTCAGTTTCCGTGTGCATGCTGACTCTCGGTTTCCTCGCCATCGTGTTGCTGGGGTCAGCTTCCTGTCAAACATGCTGGTCAAACAAAACAAAGAACCACAGCGAGCACACACGACGTGGTGAACAGGAAGTGGGAACCTGACTCTGACTGACATGAAAGCACAAAGACTGAAAGGGAAATAAAGCTGCTGGTTACTCTGGAAAACAAAACCCAAGGCTGCGGTGAGAGAAGCACGCTCGCTCTGCCGCTGACAGCCGCAGGCGATGACGCGGAAACCAAAACGAATAACCAGCTCGATTTACTCCTGAATCTAATCCGGCCACGTCATCATTACGGATTCTGACATCACGGTGAGCTAACTGTAGAAATAACAGCCAGAAAGGAATCGGCCAATCAGACGACAGCTTTACTCACATCCTCTTTCAAACACAGCACAGCACAACACACCATCTCACACCTGAACCTTCACAGCAAAGGTAAAGATATTTTCTCACCTTCGTCGTTCTTCAGCCGGTCCAGCTGCCCTTTCTCCATCAGCGCCTCGGCCTCCTTCACAAAGGCGATCATCCCTCCGAACGGCGGAGAGAGAATCTCCTCGATGAACTCCTGCAGAGGACGAGAGGAAGGAAGACGGCAGGATCAGGAACTAAAGTGTTCGAAGTTACTTAGAAATCTAGTAAAAGTACTTTCAAGCTTAAAACAGCCGTTCACGTGCACGCTGACCTAAGCTGTTGCACGTTTATAAAGTGTGAAAATATTTTCACCACAGCAGATCACCTGCTGCCTCCACCTCCACCCCTCTGCATGTCCTCCTGCACTACATCCTCTGAGGTCCTCCTCGTCTCCTCCTGCCTGGCAGCTCCATCATATCCTCCCTCCCTCCTCTGCACATGCTCAGACCACCTCAGCCTCTCTGACTCGTAGCTGTCCCTCTCATGGACTCATCTCCATCCTTCTCACTCTCAGTGAACATCTGAACCTCTGCTGCTCGGCCTCCACTGTCTCCAAATCACCACAGCAGGTCTCACTACCATCTTTAAACAGTCTCTCACCCTTGCTGCGCTCCTTCTGTCACTCGTCTCCACCCGCTCCACCCTACCTGCACTCTGTTCTTCGTCTCTCTTTGGAAAGTTGACCCCAGGTATTTAAGCTCATCCACCTTCTCTGCCTCTGCTACCTGCATGCTCATCTCTCCACTCTGGCTACACATCACAGTGTCGTCTGCTCCACCCTCACAGACTCCTCCCCCACTGTCACATGCAATATATCTGCATCCAGCAGATGTCGCTATCGGGTGACAGGCTGTGCACGCAGTACTGAGAACGTGCTCCGTACGTCCTCTGTCAGCAGCAAGTGAATTATTATTCAGTAATGCCAGTGTTCACAAGATGCTTCCAAAGGAAACACACACACACACACACACACACACACACACACAGACACAGACACAGACACACAGACACTTTAAACAGGAGGGACATAAAACTATTCAAAGTTATTACTTGCAGAAGGGAAATATGAAAACCTTCTGACATAAGCATGACATCAGAAACCTGAGTGAAACAGCTGAGTGACCCACGGTGATGATGATCATATTTACCTGAGTTCTGGCCAGCAGCAGCTGCTGGAAGCCTTCCACCTCTTTACTGTCGTCTGCTGCCCTCTCCTGGACACAGCAGAGAAACACCAGCAGCACCATCAGCCACACAGAAATCCAACTTTTCTTTTCCATAAACAGAATATTTTCCCCACGTCAGCACAGATCCTGAGGGGCGTGTCGTGCTGTTGATGGTGCTGGTCGTGGCGCTCACCATGAGGACGCTGAGCATCATGTCGTAGTTGTTGATGAGGAAGATGAGCTGATCTCTCCTCGACGGGAACTCTGCCGCCATCTTCAGCACGAAGTTTTCAACCTCAATCTGGAGACAGAATCACAACAAATCACTGAACACAAATTCAGTCTGTGCGTGTGAGTGCGTGTGTGCGCGTGTGCGCGCGTGTGTGTGTGCGCGTGTGTGTGCGCGCGTGTGTGCGTGTGTGCGTGTTACCTGCAGCTGTCCCAGCAGAGCGTTGGTCCTCTCGTTGGGGAACGTCTGGTTGATGCTGACGATGGCTGAGGAAAACTCTGCGTAACGGCGAGTGATCTGAAACCACACACACGCACACACACACACGCGCACG